TAACCTGGCTGTTACAGATGTAGCTAACTGAATTGATGTCATTATTTAAGTTATCATTAAATATGAATTTGGATTTCAATAATTATCCAGATACTTTTATCAATTAATATACTTTCATGGGTAAAGAGTATATTTATCTTTCTTATCACTCATTCATTCATTATTCCCTGTGATAAAAATAGAGGTCTATAGTGGTGTTAATGAAAATATGTTGAAGATGTCCACATTAGTCTTCTATTTGTAAAATATGATATAAGTACATTTTCTAATTATTTTGTTTAGAAAATGGTCATATAGGTGGTTTGCACTAAAATTGTAAAATACAAGGAGTAAAATGTCTTTATTGATATGAAATGTTATTCTGATATTGGTAGAATGCAGAATTTTGTTCAAGCATGTATTATCTTAAAAGTGATTTGACTCATGGGCCACAATCCAGCATTTTCTCCATCTGTTAAAATGAGTAATTGAAATAATTGGCTACTATTCAATGAAAGAATCTATCACTACTGTTAATAGATTTGTTTGGGTGTTTTAAGCTGCTAGTGAGATTTTATTTAAGTAATGTTAGTATTAAAGATAAATTCTTTTGATCTTTCTCATATAGAAGTTTTACAAAGAAATCATGAAAAAGTAAGGAAGCCCAACCCATCAGTTCTCTCAATATTTAGTCTTCTTTTTGAGTGAACAGATGCAATAGTATATATATTTCAATCAGTATTTTACCATATATAGACATGGATCTAAATAAAATGTTCCTTGACATGAAAAATAGCTGTGATTATGGATCAACTTGATCACAAAAAAATGTACATCCCTTTTCAAGTCTCATGTTATGGATTTCTCTTCTTCTGAAGTTTAGCTTATCATCTGGCTATAAGTTATATGCATAGGAGGTGCACTTAATTGTTTCAGTTAGTTTAAAAATAGGTATTTAGTGTATTCTAATGAAATTATCAATTGGAAATTAAGAGGGTTAAAGAAATCCTTTGGAATACTGGCTTTTAGCCTTTTCTTGGCACAGGCGGAAATAAATCAGTTGTTTCTTTTTACTTGTATTCACATTCTCAGTAATCAGATAAACCAAGGACTGCTTGTTGTATGGATCTTAGGACATGAACATAAGTCATTTTCTTCCTCTTCTTTGTCTAGGGTGCTATACTTAACCGTATGCTAAGTAAGTATTTTAAATACATATAGAACTGTGTTTATTTGGTCACTGCATTTTGTCAAATCATTGTGTAAAAGACCACATATATATAGCTGCTTTATTATTTACATCTGTATCCTTTATGAATCTGATACCTAGGAAATTGTATTTAGTAATCTAAACAATCAGGTTTCCTTTCATCTTATAAATGGGATTCATTTTATCTCATTAGAACTGTAATTTTAGAATGCCCTATAGTGTTAATGTGTACAATATTTATTAGATGTTTAAAGGATACTTCTTTAAGCATCCAATTTGTATTTTATTAAAAAAAATTCATAGTGTTTCTTTATGGGTTAGTTTAATATTCTCTTTAAATATTTTAAGATACTGCCTTTCTACTTAGTATATGTGCTGTTGGTATATTATAATTTTTTTTTTTTACATAGACATTTGTGTTCTTTAATAAAGTATATTGTGTTATATCACTGTGCTTTTGTGGGTCAATGACTGCTCTTGGAAAAGATTTTAAAACATTCACTTTTTTGATTAATTAAATATGTATGTGTGCTATGTGCTGCAGTTACGTGTTTCCAGGTATATGTAAGAAATAGAAGTAGAGACCATAAATGATAATTTGATCAATAACTACTTCAACTTTATTTCACCTTTTAGGTAGCAGAATGATTGCAGACCCTTAGGAGTTTCTGATTTTCAATTTTTAAAAAAGATCTAAATTTATAACATAGCTAGAATTTATTGGCTGACAAAATTTGCTAAAGTTTCCAAAGTGGTGTGTGTGTGTGTGTGTGTGTGTGTGAATGAAATAAGTAATCCACTACTTTTACCATCTACATTGTTCTTCGGTTTCTAGGATTCTTGATGGTATCTCTTGCATTTGTCTATGATGTATTAATTCTTACAAATTCTGTTGGAGTTTACTTGTATCATTCAGGATATTTTTGTTACCAGCACATAAAGCTATGGATGTCCTCAATATTCTAATGTAGAAATAACCATATTTTTTCCACATGGAAATAAGTCTAGTCATTTGTAGAAAGAGCTTTAATTTGCATATTTATTAACAGCTATTGATTTCAAGATTGATTTATTTCTCTGTGTTTTCCCTCTCCTGGATTTTGACAGTTCCTAAGTATATTAACAGTTTTTTTTTTACTGATGAGTGTGCTATAACTTGAGAGAATTCTCATATCACCCCCTAATTCTGACAAGCAAATTTTGCCTTTCCTCTGAGACCCATTACAAATACATTAGAGTTCCATATGGAGACTAAGTTATTCTAAAAGGTATTACTAATGAAGTAGTCAGTAAGGATTATATTATTTCCAAATGGCATATACTTTCAGCATGATCATCTAACAAATCTAGCATATAAAACCTTTCTTTTCCCTGTGCATTTATTCTTGAGCTGGTAACTTGATTTTATAATAAATTGAAAAATCCGGTACAAACTGGAACTATATCTAAGTGTAGCAAACTTGTTCTTAAATTTATTAGCTGGAAATACATAGATACAACAAGAATCACCTGCATAGATGAAGGTGAAAAATAATGTTAAAATTCACCCTTATATTCATGATGTTTGATGTGAGTTATACACTATAAATCATAAATTCAAGTTATGACACAGTTTTAAAGTAAATATGCAATAATTAGGTTGTTAACTCTTCACCTATCAAGAGCCCGGATTATTGGCAATCTGAACTCTAAGGGATGTTGCTCAAAAACCTGAAGTGAAGCAAAAAGGACTATATAGTTAACCAAAATTTAATCCATGTACTTAACTCAGTCGAAGTTCTCATTTTCATGTCTTTTAACTGTCCCTTTGCATAGTTTTACCAAGGTTAAAGATCTGTTTTCTAAATCCACAACAAATTACTGTTAGGGAAATGCTTAGACAAATAGAGTCACAATATCAGAAAGCAGTAGCCGATAATTTTCAAGCAGTTCAGGACCCTGAAAACCTATAAAAGTTGAATACAAGAATTCAAACAGAACAGCAGACAGATAGTACTCCAAACACAAAAGGCTGACACGCTGTTAGACACACAGCAGCATGTTACTTGTATTCATGACCCTGAGATGACAAAATAAAGTAAATTATATTTAATGTATTTTCTTGATGAAGCAAAGAAGGTGATTCTTTTTAAATTTCCCATCAAAGATGATTCTGAAGGTTCCTTTAACTATATGTAATGTAATTGAAGTTTTAACTATTGAAAGGTAAATAAGTTGAATTGACAAGAAAGAACATAAAATTGTGTGGGCTTGCCATTTAGTCTCTTTATGTTACATATTATCTATTATTTTTTCTTAATGCCAGAATAACAGGTATTTGAATATTTTGGCTGCTTTTAAATATATTTTGGTTTATTTATATTGGCATAGTAAATAAAGTGCTCTTATTCATATTTGATTTTAGTTTTCATGTAGCTAGGAATTACCATGATAGACAAGTCTGTGTCTTGAGTCTAAAAAAAGGTTTTTGGAAAAGTGCATAAGTTTATTTGGTTCATAAGAAGAAAGTTGTAGAGGAAGAAATGCATTAACTTATGACATACTGTGTTTTAAACTTATTTATAACTGAATAACTTAGCTAAAGTTGCTAACTTTCTGAAACTCTTGATTTCCAAAATGGGTCTTTGGACGATTGGATTTTGTAGCATGATTTGACATTTTTACATAAATGTAGATTTATAGTCCCTTTTATTGTGATGGTTTTTGAAAATCAATTATTTTTCTTTGTGTTTGGTTTATAACACTAGTTCCTTCCCCCTTGTTTCTAATAAAGGTTACTGAATAGTAATTTTGCATTTTATTCAAGTAATACATGTATTATAAAATTTTTCTCTTGGTTTCATAGTTGTGGATTTCTCAGTGTTTTAAATCAGTAAGAGAAAATAATATATAAGAGAATGACAGATTGAAGAAAAGTATTTAATTTTAACTTAAAAGAGCACAAAGAAAATGAGATAATCCTTTCTATAAGATGTATACATCTTTGTTACTTGTTGTTAAATTTTGGTCTTGTTATTCCAACTGATGCAAATTTTTTTTTACAAAAACAATGAAATAATGCAGATCTTTCTTCATTGTCAGCAGGATGAGATTGTCTGAAACGAAGAATAGGTATGATAGTTTTCTTAGATTTTGTACATTATAGGTGGCAAAGACACTATCAAAATATTTGTTAATAAGCTTTGAGATGTACTAGGAGGTACTCTGAAAAACCAAATGCACTGAGAGAAAGTGACAGGTAAATTTTGAGAATATTTATATTTGAGAAAATAATACCAAATTCTTAGGACGGTTTTTATTTGCTAGATGGCGTTAGCATGCTGTAAATATTAGAAAGTGTATTTACAATCTACCTTCACTTGGAGAAAGAGTGATAAGGTATAAATTGTATAGGATTGATTACAGCTTAAGTTTTTTTAAGTAATCACAATGTATTAGATTGAATTCATAATCTAGAATTATATGTATCTTAAATGTTTTTAAGATAACGGGTAAATGATTAATTCTTGAAGTTCAAAACTGAAATTGTGTTAGTTTTGAACACATTTGACTATACATATACATTCATTCATATGCTCTTAACATTTCTACTATCAAAGTGTTCTAAATGATATTTACTTTGTTAATTTTGTTGTATTTTGTTTTTTCCTAAGATATTTATTTCAGGTTTAGATTGTCATAGACTTTAATAATTTTGTGAACTAAGCATAGAATTAACGATGTTGAAATGTGTAGTAGTTTGCCATTTGTCTTTGAAAAAGATAGTTTTTTTATATTATTTAGACATACCATAAATCTGTTTACCCTGCAGGTGTGATGAATGCAGACTGTGCTACCATTTTGGCTGTTTGGATCCTCCTTTGAAAAAGTCTCCTAAACAAACAGGCTATGGATGGATATGTCAGGAGTGTGATTCTTCATCTTCTAAGGTAAGGAGAAAAATAGTCCATAAGAAGTGTTTTACATCATTTTGATAGCCATATCATACCATCAGTTCCTAACTTTAAAGATAAGTATAATTGTGAACGACCAACATTTTAATCTAATGTACTTTAAGAATATTTTGCGATGGTGATTTTATTGCCTTTAAAATAAGGAATAAACAGCTCTACTAAATTATAGTAGTTTCTTCCAAAATATTTTAGCTGTTTTGTGTATTTTCTATGTAACTGTAACATATTAAATAGTGTTACTAGTCCCCAAAGAAAGTCACCCTATGCTAATTTACGACATATAAGGAATGGCAGGGAAATTCTGCTTTGGGTCATAAGAAATTTGTTTTGACAAATACATATTAACATATATAAATGTGAATCAACAGAATAACCAATAAAATCCAATTTTATTTTGTAGATGACTCATTAAGTATATTGTAAATGTTTTATAAAATCTGTTCTTTGAGATCTAAGCGAAATAAGTCAGAGAAAGACAAATACCATTTGATTTCATTCATGTGGAAATAAAGAAACAAAACATGAATATAGGGGTGGAGTAAAAGAGAAGTCTGTTCTTTTTTATATCCTAAATTTCTATATCCTAAAATTTTATTTTTGATATTTATTTAGCTAAGTAAAAAGATAATAAGGCTGTTTAATATTTTATCTCAAAAAATTACTGAAATTATATCTTTTGAATATCAATGTTACAACCTTAAATTGCAGTAATCTACAGTTTAAGATTATTGTTTCTTTAAAGTCTGAATAGACTCCTGATACTTTAACTCATTTGACAAAAATATTGTATGTGTTTGAACTAAGACATTCTGGTCAGCTGTAGGTTAATCAAATTGTTCTTCTTTAAATAGACAATGGAAATCAGCTATCTACTGTAATATGGACATCAAACCATCTTTCTTAAATGCCATTTTAATGGCATTTGTCTGTCCTAGAGTTAATTAAAATTGATACTGAATTCCTTTCTGATTGTGGAATCAAATATGTGTGTGTGTGTGTGTGTGTGTGTGTGTGTGTGTGTGTGTATTATTTTTTTTTTTCTTTTTGGCCTAATTGTTGCCTTTAGATTCTGAGTCTTAATTTTGAATGTTCAGAAACCTTGATAATCAGGCCAAGGAAAATGGTATGTGGATTGAGTCTAGTAATTCATTAATGAATGATCTGTTTTTAATTTGAGATCCTCCAAAGGATAGGTATTCACTGTTTTCAGAACATACCAAAATCATGAATAATCCCAAAGGCATAATGGATATCTGTATAAATGTTTGCAGTTTTCCCTTTTAATAAAGTATAAGCTCTAGTAAAAAAGACAAAAACAAAAAATCCCAAAATACATATTTTTCAAGTCAAAATGATTACCTAGATTACCACAGAAGCTATCTGTAAAAATTTATTTATGAAAAACTGCAGAAAAACATTTGGTTATAAAAAAAAACCTATTTAAAGCATTCTTTAAGTAACCAACTTTATTAAAAATTTTACATATTTGTATAATGATTATTAAAATAGAAAATAATGCATATTTTATTTAATAACCAAGCATTTTTTCCCAAGATTTTAAACTATACAATATCAAAAATTATTTTCCAGGCATTTTATTAAGACCTAGATTTAAGAGGGAGCATATTTAATAGCAAAAGTTTTATTCCATGATTAAAAAAATGCTTTACAGAAATTGTATTTAAAAATGAAAAAATTGTGGTTGTACTATAGATTTTAGAGAGTTGTCTTATGGGACTCTTTGTGGTATAATATGATTTTTCTAAAACAGTTTTTATGTGGGGTTTCCTCCTACCCTCAACAAGCAAATTAGGAAAGCATGTTTTAAAGGATTTATTGCCCTTTATAAATGCACTTTTTTTGCATACATTCTTTTGAAAAGGTTCTGTACTACTATAAATGTGTACCATTTATTCAGTGCTTAAAGAATGGCTTTAAGTTATATAGTAATTCCATTAATGAATACTGAAAATGAAAGGGGGCCTATTTCACATATGTTAGGAGTATATCATACCTTTTGTAATGCACTAGGATGCCGGTAGCCATTGAGAAGGATAAGGTATTTTTATTTTTTTTCTGTTCTTCCCTCTTTACGAGACAGTAAGTCTTTGGATGCTGATGGAAATCCATTAGGAAGGCACATTGTTAGAAAACTTGTATTTCCTGTATTCAATCTCTGATTGAATACCAGATATAAACAACCAACTTGGTCAAAATTTCATCCAATTATGGGATCTATAACCTTTGGAATGTCACAACATTTTACTGTAAGGTTTACATCAGTGAAGTGGAGTTGTATTTTTATCATACCAACATGACTATGGTGTACTTATACTTTTTTTTCCAATAAAAAAATTAAATTTAATGTAATAGTTCAGCTGGAAACTTAATTTATTACCTTGAATATTTGTGTTGCATCCATTCTGTTTTGTTTACTTTTGAAGACTTCTATTCTTGACCAGCAGGTAGTAGATTTGTTTACATTTTCCTTTGAAAGATGTTTGCCAGTTTGGGTCCCAAGAAGAATGCATTGATAGATATAATGTCATGCTTTATAATTCAGTGAATTGCTGCAGGAGCTATTTTAAATTAAGAAATCAGTATACTATTAACATCAGAGTCAAAATTAGTATAATCTTAGGGCCTAAAAGAATCTCACAATGGAAGTTAATATACTTTGCTTGTCTTTCATTTTCTTCTATTAGATTTGGTGGAGTGTCATTTGTTAGGTAATACTGGGTATGTTTGCCATGTTCATATATTTTAATGATATGAAAAGTAAGATAGAAATCGTTACTGCCAGGAGAAGGGAAGTGAATCAGTTGCTAATAAATTTAGGTAGGGGGAAGTGAATGTGTAAAATTGTGACAGCCATAATATATCCAACTTCCTTTCTCTGTGGTATTCAGGATTATTAAGTCCATGAAGTCTTAACTTTTATGATGAAAATTCAACTCCCAAATAAGAAATTATTTATTTTGCTTAGAATTTTAGATAAACTACAAGGTGAGGGTATATAGGTGAATATGTGCTTGAAAATGCATTGCACTTTAAATATTAATGTAACTGTTAATATTGTCTCCAAATTTTTTGTAGCAGGGAAACTCTAAAATATCACCATGTATATTCTCAGCAGCATAATACATTTATACATGTCTTTGTCTCTCAAGTAATAGGTTTATTGCTGTGGGTTTTATGAGGGCAAAAATCTTCTGTCACAAATCCTGCTTATTACTTTTTTGGAAATTCCACTAAAATCTAAGAAGATTCATCATATCATAATCCATAATTTTGAGTTTCAGTACATGATAAAATATTAAGTGTAGTTAGTTTTAATACTGATTTAGTAACAATTTACCTAAAAGTAGGATAGTTTTTTTAATTAAGAAATAATTGACATACAACATATTAGTTTGGGGTATGATAACATAATCATTCAATATTTGTATATAGAATGACTTTTTATTCTATCCAGACCCATGAAGTATGGCATGGTAAGGCTTTCTCTGCCTTATCAACCCATTATAAACCTACTTAGTTCACTTTAGGCTCCATGAAAAATGACTACATGGACACAGATACATACATATACATGTGCACACATGGAAACACAAATTTGCACACATGGAAACACAAATTTACACACATACAAACACATGGAAACACATGCACAAAACATGCCTTCTCCCATAAGCTATGCTTCAAAGACATTTGACTAAGGCAGCAGCTATTATGTTTACGTTAGGGTGGAGCTAGTTCGTTGCTACCGATCATCATGCATTAGTGTTTTTCTTTCTGCTCTTTACTGTGTTGTGATAATAGTATTGTTAATGAGTGCTGTATGCCTGGAAAAGCAGTTCATTTTATTCTTAATCCTCCTCTTCACCTGTCTCTTACTTTTTCTTCCCTCTCATTCCATCTGTTCATCCAAGCCAAATAACTGGAATCATCTGCAAGCCTTGTTAATCCTTGTCCTATATAGAAAATCACTTCCTGAGTCCTGTAAAAGTTTTCTTCCTTAAATGTTTCTCCAGTGTGCTCTTTGTTCCTTTTCTCCATTGCTACTGCCTTGATTCAGTGTCTCACTTTTTCCTTATTCTATCAGTTTCTCCTGTTTTGGAAATTATCAATAGGTCTGCCATACTCATCTATTTTACCCATTCTCTTTACTAGAGGCCTCCAAAATGAAGTGTTTGCACCCTAAGAGAGAGACAAGATAACTAATAAAACCAACTTACTTCTGTATGACATCCCATTTTAATTTCTGTGTCTGTGTTTTATAATGTAAATAATATATAATACTGTAGTATAAGTATATAACTTCACACATACATATGTTAAGATGCATATTTAAAATATGTTTAGTATGGTGGTACATCAACAATAACATTTGGGGACCATACTCCTATGCTGGTACTGGAGTAATCTTTCATAAAGTATAACTTTAATTACTTGACTCATTTTCTTCAAGTCTTCTCCATTCTCTTCATCTTTTAATTAATTAATTCTGAGGAAGTTCCTTGATACTATGCAAATATCCTATTCCTCATCAAACTTTATTTTCTGTTTTATTCAGTAGATTATATTGGTTATTACCATTTATTTTGGTAATTGTCCCAAATTTGGCTAATGGAAGCCACTTCAGGCTGTCTTGTGACACTTCAACCTAGCATCTATGTCCTTTTGACATGATCCCAGCAGTATTTAAATACTTTCTTACTAAAGATGTTCCAGGCTCAACTATACTTTCCCTTTCCCTATTCTTAGAACCAGCCATTTCTCCAAGGAGCTCCATTTCCTTTCAGTGGAGAATGGTATTTAGAAACCAAGATGTGGGTGCTAGATGTGCTCATTGTTACTGCACTATTCCTTCTAGGTTGTCTCAGTAGACAGAGCCAAGAATTAGATGTATGTATACATCCACATTTGCATCTGTATTTCTGCCTTTATAGACATTGGAAACCATTCCAGTTTTC